TTGGAACATACAGGGTGTTTCACAGGTAAAGGGAAATATTTCAATGGTAGATAGGGGTCACCAAGGTGGTTCTGAAAATACCATATTTGATAGGTCTTAGAGTCTTCATAACGGAAATACAGGGCGATTTATCGATTTCGAATAATTATTCATTCGTCTATAAGTATTGAACTACCCAGTATATTTTTCTAAAATTTGGTATGGAGCTCAAACTTGGGACGTTGAATCAATTCATCTATCGGGCGAAGTGAAAATCCAGGTTCGGCATCAGGAAAAATTTACATTTAATCGAAATATTAAAATAACACACTGTATGTAATAATTGACAGAGTTCATCTAAGGAATCGTGAAAACTGAACTGGATTTGATGCTTTTTGTTTTCCTGCCACCAATTCTCATCGTAACAATCATAAACAGAAAGTTGAAAATATGTCAATTTGAAGAGTATTGAAATTATGAAACCAATGATTATTCGATATATTTTAGTCAAAACATCGCTCGAGAGAACTTACTTAGTCTCACAGTCTTTATAACGGAGATACAGGGTGAATTATCGGTTTTGAATAATTATTCACTCCTCCATAAGGATTCATTAACCTATCAGGCGGATAGGTCAATGAATCCATCGTTCCAAGTAAGCTACATACCAAATTTGAGAAAATGTTACTGAATAGTTTAATACTTATGGAGGAGTGAATAATTATTCAAAACCGATAATTCACCCTGTATCTCCGTTATAAAGACTGTGAGACTAAGTAAGTTTTTTCGATAAGAATTGGCGGCGGGAAAACAAAAAACATCGAACCCAATTCAGTTTTTCCTCCTCTCCACAATTCTTTTGATGCACTGTGTTAACTATTAAATACAGTGTGTTATTTTAATATTTCGAATAAATGTAAATTTTTCCTGAAGCCGAACCTGGATTTTCACTCCGGCCGATAGGTGAATGGATTTAACGTCCCAAGTATAAGCTCCTTACCAAATTTGAAAAGAATATACTGTGTAGGTCAATACATATAGAGGAATGAATAGTTATTCGAAATCAATAAATCGCCCTGTATCTCCGTTATGAAGACTCTAAGACCTAACAAATATGGTACATTCAGAACCACCTTGGTGACCCCTCTCTACCATTGAAATATTTCCCTTTACCTGTGAAACACCCTGTATATTATTTCATTATCAGATGACGGCGATGACGGTCGAAATCTGCAGCCGGCTCTTGGACTAATAAGCACGGACGCCAGGCAGTAGTAGAAGAAAAAGAGTTGTTATGTCACCTGTTAATTTTACCCTAATTTCACCCCAAAAATCGAAAATCTGTCATTTTCATTGGAGAAAAATATCTTTCTACGGATTTTTTTCACCAAAAAATACGTAGATTGAATTCATGCTTTCCCCTGATTTTATCGCGTAGATTTCACCTCCTTTTCACCCCAAAGATCGAAAAAAAAATCAGAAATCTCATTTTCCTTAGAGAAAATATCTTGCCATGGATTTTTTCATAAAAAAATAGATGAGGCATATCCTCCATTGAATTTATGCTGTCCTTGATTTTGTGGCATGGATTTCACATCCTTTTCACCACAAAAATCGAAAAAAAATTGGAAATGTCATTTTTATTGAGGAAAATATCTTGCTATGGATTTTTTCATCAAAAAATAGATAAGGACATCATCGATTATTTTTGTGCTGTTCCCTGATTTTGTTGCAGAGATTTCACCCCATTTTTACCACAAAAATCGAAAAAATATGGGAAATCTGTCATTTTTATTGGGAAAAATATCTTGCAATGGATTTTTTCATATCACCCTTGTAGAGCAAAAAAGCCCAACTGCCAAATAGAAAATTGTGCAGGTGAGCAGAAAAACTGATTTTTTTAGTTTAAAATTGTATTTCTACTATTTCTGTAGATCATTTTTTTAGGAGTTTTCGTGTGAATAATTATTACTATAATGACAACATTTCCTCATTTTCAGTTTGAAAAAAAATTTTATTTTGGAATAAAATGGCGCTTGATCCCTTGTTGCTATTTGGTTAATTTTGAAATTCTTGTTCATGTTGTTTCTTTCCAGAAAAAAGAGATCATTTGTCAAACAGGTAGATACATAAAATCGTTTGTCAATAAGTTACTCCCTTAATCAAAACTTATTGAAACAGTATCACTTTGCCAAAAAAATCCATAACAAAATATACTTTTCCAATGGAAATGACAGATTTCCCTTTTTTTATTTTTGAGGGCTAACATCATTTATGGTCCACCACATAATAATGAATAATAATAAAATTTATTGAATTTTATGAAAAATATACGTCAGACAACAAGAAGTTCACACACAATTTATATACAGATACATGAAAATATAACAGAACCACATAGTACACAGAATATTCAGTCTGTAACCTTTCCTAGTACCACAAAGTATATCAAGATATATGAAATGCATTTCACGAGGGGTAAATCTCCTTGGAAGTCTGGTGTACACTCCGTTGGAAGTCTTTGGAATTCTTTGGATGTCTTTGGAAGTCTTTCGGAGTCTTTGGATGTCTTTGGTAGTCTTTGGATGTCTCTGGAAGTCTTTGGATGTCTTTGGAAATCTTTGGGAGTCTTTGGGAGTATTCGGAAGTCTTTGGATGTCATTGGATGTCTTTGGATGTCTTTGGATGTCTATGTTAATTGGAAGTCTGGTGTACACATTTTTCCTGGAGATTTACCCCTCGGCATTTCATTGATTGAAATATTCGTCGATACTATAAAAACAATCATTAATCAGAAATTCTTTGAGTTCAATTTTGAAATGATTTTCTCTTCTGTGTACATTTTTTATTTCGTCAGATAAGTGATTATAGAATTTTGCTCCCTTATAAGAGGGACAATTTTCATATAGACGAGTTGAATGTTTCTGAAGTCTTATCAATTCACCATGCCTGGTAGGATACCTATGATATGGTATGAAAGTCACAGTTTCGATCATAATTCTGCATTTGTTTCCTGAATAATAAAATACATTTGTAAATATAAATGCAAGGTACACACAAGATTTTATTCTCAATAAAGTGTTGCCTACAAGATTCTCTGTCGAGTTCTCTGTAGTCTATTTCATATATTAGCCATATGACCCTTTTCAGTGGGAGGAATATTTTGCTGAGTTTTGAGGAACATCCCCAAATGGCAATATTATAAGAAATATGGGAATATACAACAGAACATTTAGAAGTTGAGCCTTATTGAAAGTGGACCTCAATTGTCTAATAGCATAGTTCCCAGTGTTCACTTTCTTACTGACATGATTTATACCCGACTCCCATGTCATGTTACCATCACTAAAAGTATCTAGAAATTTGGTGTTGTCTGATGGTTTAATTATTGCCCCACCCACTCTAACATGAAGATTATCAATTTTTCTATTACTTCTGGAATAAAACTGCATCAGAACAGTTTTCTCTACATTCACCACTAAAGAGTTTTTATTACACCAATTTGTGAACTAGAAGCTCAAGGTATTCAATTTTTCTTGGAGCTCCTCTGGGTTATCTGCAATTGCTGCAATTGATGAATTGAAGAAAAATGACAACATAGTACCACTCATACTGAAACATGAGGTCAGAGTTGTTAGAACTGATGAAAATACTTCTTTTCCTGTCATTTGACCTCTTCCAATTATATCTTCTTCTCTGTCAATGTAAGAATTGGTCCTAAAGTTCCACATATTTTTTTACAAAACAAAACAGCAAGATAGGTATTTATTCCCAATAAAAATGACAGATTTTGTTTTCTACTTTTGGGGTTAAAATAAGGTAAAATTGATGTGACAAAATCAGGGGACAGCATGAGTTCAAATGATGATGTGCTTTATGAATTTATTGGCAAGAGAACTCCCATAGCAAGATATCTTTTCCAATGAAAATGACAGGTTTCTGATTTTTTTTTTGGGTGAAAATGGGGTGAAATTGATGCAAAAATATTAGGGGACAGCCTTAATTCAATCTATGTTATGACATGTATTTTTTGACAAAAAAAACATAGCAAGATCCATAAACAGATTTTTTATTTATAGGGTGAAAATTGGGTAAAATGAACAGGTGACATAATAACTCTATTTCTTCTACTATTTTCAGGCTTCCTTATTGAAGTAGACCATCTTGCTGGCTTCACACCAGTAGGAGATATAAAAGTTTAGGAGATACAGATCTATGTATATCACACCAAAGTTCCCCTGGTAGAAAATATTACAATCAAGCTTGAAATATATTTTTTTTTATCGCTTGGAGCGCACGAAAGGGAATCCCTATAATGTTCAAAGAACATCGTGCGTTCCTGGGGAGGATAGGGACAAGAGGTAGGTATTGAAATTTTTTTTTGAACTTTTGGAGATTATATGTTGTTGGGAATACTTCCACAGGCAATGAATTCCAGAGCCTAGCCGTTCTATGGATGAAGGAGTCTTGATAAAGTGCTGTTCGGCATCTTTCGAGGTTGACAACAAAAGGATGTGCTGACTGGGCTTGTCTAGTTCGTCTGATTGGTATTGCTAGTGAAGGGATGATAGCAGAGATTTCCGAAGAACATTTCCCGTGAAAGTATCCTGAAAGTATTGATAGAAAAGTGAAAGGTCGCCGACCTTTCTACAGTGTTCCAATTATGTCAAAGAGTGAGTGAGTGAGTCACCTACCAGGCGAATGGCTCTTCTCTGGATGGAATCTAAGAGCATCAGCGCATGTTTTGGTGCTGAACCCCATATGTGGGAACAGTATTCTAGAACAGGCCGTATCTGCGCTTTGTAGATCATGAGAAGCTGTTGAACAACACTCATTTCTCTGTAGAAAATCTTTGGAATTCTTTGCCAATGGAAGTATTCTCAAGAACTTAAAACCTCAAAAAGTTCAAAAAGAATTGCAATCCTCTATCTATCCTCCTTAGGAATTTACTTTCATATGCTCCAAGGGATGAAAAAAAATCTGCAAGGGGTAAGGAAGACCAAAAGAATTTGCCTACTTACTGCTATCTGAATTTCACGTTTTGCCACATTGAGATCTTGTTCATTATTAACATACATTCTCTTGAGGGCATATCTGCAACCATTGCTAGATTTAACTGAATAGACAATTGCAAATCCACCTGTGGAAAAAGATGATTTCTATTTAGATGAGTGTATGAATTCAACCAAACTAAGGAATAATTACCTACTAACCCACTTTTGTAAAGTAAAAGATAACTAGTCAAAAAATGATTCCAAATTCCCCAATCACCAAAAGAAAAACCCTAGTTAAGTTATAATTTTCAACTATAGTTTGGTTGACTTTACAGGAATGTCAGAGAAATTTTCTGTCAAAATTTATTGTTTTGCTATTTTTACCTTCTGCCAGGATATCTTCAACAATAACAGTTTGCCTTCCAATAGTGAAAGATTTCCCTACATAACTATTTCCTTCTCTAGAAGTATTGTCGATTTTGGTCTCGATTTTAGAAAATAACTTTTTCATGGTGACCAGTGCAGCATTCACATCATATTCACGTTTGTTATACTGGTTATATTTCCATAATAATAACTCATGTTAAATTACACTAAACGCCTAATTATATAAAAGAGACTTATAGTGGAGTTTATGATAATTATTGTTCATAATCAATTTTCGTCTGGTATAAATATTATTTTTTCAATCCCATCTTCATCTTCATCAGACGACGGTGATACACTGACAGTAGTGACAGTACTGACACTGTCATTGGTGACAGTACTGACAGGTACTGACACTACTGACTGAGCGTCGTGCTGACATTTGACAGTGGGCAAAACGCTATAATTCACGACTGCCTGCAGACAGTTCTCACACACTACATCCAATTTTCAGGCAACAAACGGACGACTGTGCACCATCTGTGCAGTGTGCATACAATGAGAAATCAAATTGTCCCTTCAAACATAAAATAATCATTTATCAAGTCTCATGGTACAATGAGTCAAGCGCCATCATACCAATTTCTGAATATACAGTGTGTCTTATACTTCTAATAGAAACACTCCTGTATATATGACGTAATTGTTGAGTAAAGGGATTCTGAAACTTGAAGTAGTGAGAGATAAACCAGAGTGGGGTCATCTTCAGTGATATACACTGCTCGCCAACAGCCACGGAACCACCCGTATTTCCGGAAAATGAAATTAGGAAGCAAGATAGGTTGAGAATCACTTCGGATTCGAAATCGGGACAGTCCAATTCACCAACTATTAATATTTTTTCTGAAAATGTTTCGGTTCTGGAAAATTATATTTCATCTCACTTTTCATGGAAGCACCCCTGGTAACTCACGTAATTTATTGAGATAGGATTCTGAAATTCGCAGGGGCAAAAAAGAGTTCAGATATAGTCAACGACCATCAATCAATACGACTGAGATTGTCATCAGTGATCTACAATTACAATGCTCTTCAGCAGCCATGCAACTATACTCACATGGCTGCTGGCGAGCAGTGCATATCACTGACGATAATGGCAAATTCAAATTTGTCAGCTTTCTATCGAATGAGAACGAACTAAGAACATGGAAACTCAACATGAAGAGACAAAATATAAGAAAATATGCCAGGTAAAAATAATACAAAATCACGTATACAATTCCATTGTGGATCATTATCACAAATTTTTAAATGGATTTTATCAGGAACAGTTTTGATAAAAACGAATGATTTGAAGAAAAGGCATGCCCTATCATTAATAAAATTATAAATTCAGAAAATAAAACTGTTCGCGAATAACTGCAAAAAGTACAACATCAATATATAAATATTCATCACACATCATGACATGGGCACATTAGTCTCTCGACCATGAGGCTCAGTCTGAAATCAAAATTCATTTATTTGTAGGTACAGTCTAGGAACAGTCTCATTAGGTGAATAGGTATATTGAAATTTCACTAAATAGTATCAATGATATTCGGGGAACTAAATTAACTCATACTGATGCTCCTTTCGATATGTGAACAACTGTTCAGTAATTATGTTTTAAACATGATGGAAAACTTTTTTAGGAGGCATTCTTGACAGAAGTGACGAGTTGGACATTTTGCTTCCACCGTTTGATTCCTTCATATTTTTTTCTACGAAAATAGTATTTATTTCAATAAATATCTCATACCGTTCTAGAAAAGAATCGCATTTTAAAAACATACATCCCAACCATTTCAACGGTAATAAAAAATGTATTCGATAACTCCATGGTAGTTGCATGGCTGATAGTGTGAGCCGAAGATGTTAGAACTTCATATAAAAAAATGTCTATCACACTTCGTTACGGAGTTATTGACCTTGAAAGTTCCTGCAAGTCCACATGAACTTATGTGTCAAAGCGCCCTATTTGAAAGCTACTGTGACACTTTGAGATGAGACCACGGACTATTGATTCCGAGTTTTCACACAAACAATCCATGCTTGTAGGTTACATATATGATAGTTAATTATAGCTTTCTGTAAAAAAGTCAAAGCCACATTCCTCATTTTATGAAGTCACGCAGGAAGTAGGAAATGCTCGAGCGCACATCTTGCTACTGTCTGATCGTATGTTTTTTGGGATAAGCTTTGCAGACTATCCCCTAACCGATTTATACGATCCGTACAAGGGGCAAAACACCCAAATGATTTTTACTCATTATGCAAGCTTATTAATAATCGTAAGTAATGAAATTTCATAAAGATCAAGAATGGCCTAACATAGAGAATATTATAATTGTTATACTTGACTCTTTGTAGCAAAAGCAAAGTAATCACCACATTACTGATGTTCTAAAGGTGAGAAACAACCCTGTCTCCGCATGTTTAACTCCCTGTATTTGAAAAACTGTCCATTAGATTTGGTTGCACTCATGAAGACGGTACATTTTATCAGGACGTCATAAACTACATTTTACCAAATTTTGAGCCAATTCGACTGGGACCCATTTTCTATAAGAACCGTGCGGGGTACTTTATGGCAACCGTTTAAAAGTGATTTACATGAAATAGTTGGCGATCTGGCTCTATTTTATGGATATTTCTATGGACGATGCTCTTCTGAAATATCAACAATTGTTCCTCCCTTGGCAGTCCCCGCGAGATTTACCAGTCGACTTGAGGCTTCGCATCCCTTCGTGGTCACTTTGGAGACCTGCAGAGCATCTCATTCCAAAGACTCGTTCATCCAACGGACAGCGAGGCTCTGGAACACATTGCCAAGAGAGGTGTTCCCCGAGGCAGATAACCTCCAGAAATTCAAGAACACCAATTCCTACCTCATTTCCCTGAACACAAAAAAATATTCTTTTATTCAATCTTTCAATGTCAATAACTCCGTAGCGAAGTGCGGTAGCATTTTTTTCATACGAAGGACTGACATTATTTGGCTCACTCTATCAGCCCTATCATTTACATTTTGACCTTTCCGGACACCCTGTATATAAAATGAATAACTGATGGACAATATTTTGTGACAGAGTAGTCTGTTCGCTGCATCTTGAACGGATTCTTTTAATTGGGTTGAGTGGTAGCGAATGTTTGATGTTTGATTGATGGCGTGCGTATACCCTCTAAAAACCATATAACACTAGCAATATGTGCGCAGGTAACGACAGTTCGAGCAACAGACTCACAGGTGCAGTAATAACTATCTATGTATATAGGGAGAACAAATTCGAAATAGACCTCATAATGACTTAACCGCAGACACGTGTTTCGGGCTTACGGTCCTCTTCAGTATATTGAAAGGAATATTGAGAAAAATGTTTCAAGCAACTAGGAAGTAAATATTGTACTAAAGTATTAACCCCAGATACGTGAGTAGGAGTTGGGAGGGTCTAGACCACCCCCACCCCTCCCAAACCACGTCACTCGGCTAGCTAATCACAGGCTGACTTGACACGGCTACTCGCGGCACCACAAACGGCGTAAAATTTAAATTGCGTCACGACTTCATCGATCGTCAACTAAATTGAAGGAAGCTGGATTTACGCACTGTGGTATTCAGGCGTGGAAATTCAAACATGATAATGCTGTTCAAATGGGATAAGTAGACGTTGGAAAGTCGTCACACTGTAGAGTAAAGCGAGAGATCCGTTCTAGATAATATCTAGAAGTCTTATATTATAAGTCATCACTATATTACAACGGAATGGAATTAACGTGAATCATTTTTATTAGAGATTCGACTGAGATTTACAGTGACTGCATTTAACACAGTGACGACAAAGGGCTAGCAACCGCCATGTGTAGGCTAATGTCAAATGCTCTGTCTTTGTCTTATTAGTTGGTATCCACCGTTAAAGTATTTCCGTTTCCCAACGGAACACCCTGTACATACAGGCGGACTCGCAGCAAGAACTTACCACATTAGGTGGACCCGGCAAACATATTATAGATAGCTGACGTATGGCACTTGATAGATGACGTATGACAGACGACTGTTGTCAGAAAACAACGATCGATGACACGTGACCGACGATCTGCAAGTCGCAAGTAATGAACTAATGAACTCAATATATGAAAATAAACACCTATATTGAGTTCATTTTCTGCGGGCCGAGTACCCGCTAGCTGATGATTCTGTTCAAGATATAGTGTGTTTAACTTGATTAAAAAATATACAGGGCAACTCGCCGCCCAACCAGCAAACATATTAAACAAATATGTCGAACAACTCTTAATCAAAACTAGTAAAATAAATAAAAAATGTATTCCGGTTAGCCTGCGAAATATGTCAATAAACTCGTAATGTAAGGGTCAAGGGCGCTAGAGGTTAGGGGCCTTTAGGGATTAGCGATTAAAATGGTACAGGAAGAAGCATCACGGCAGCCTTCACACAGAAAAAACATATAGCTGTTAATATCTCTGAAAGAAAGATTTTTCATAGTAATATATGCAAAGTCTGAAAATTCTCTAGATATATCGTCGAAATCAATAAAAAATTAGCATGATGCTATCACTATTTCGTTTTGTGCTGGTAGGTTTACTACATGTTTATTATATTTCTTTTAGGGAAAACTGAGGAGTAAATCTTAACCATATTCCATGATTTCCAAGTGATGACTATTGAAACATCAAAAAGATATGCATACGTGGATCATCATTATGATTTTCATGAATAATTTATATTTGAGAACTATTTATTACCTATATAAGCAGGTTCAGGGCAAACAAAACTATCGAACTATGGGTATTTATAATGAAACAGTTTACATGAATTCAGCTCTTCGGAGAGAATCTTAGAATGCAATAAAATACAAGGTGTTCCATTTGAAATAACAAAGTTGTTGCTTCTTTTCTTTAGAAGCGGCAACGCCGCAGGGCTGAAAATATTTTAGAAAGATGTCCCCCTCGAAAATGTAGTTGACCTGTTTCAGTTTTTTTTGATAATCCGGTTTTGGCGACCTACAGAGCCTCTGTTTCGTTTTCAAAGGCCCACTCTGTATATATATATTGTAACAAATGTGTGTGGGGAACTGCTTCCCATTATTCTTTCTTCCTAGGATACACTTCCACTTGGCACACTGCTTGCACTCAATCCAATCTTCACAATTTACCTGTTATTATATCCAAGTAATAAAAAAACCTCAGTTATCTGAGCTATTTCTCCCACCTAGTTGCAATACTTGCAATTATCCAACATTCAATGAATGGTGGAAAAAGTTAACAAATTATTAATTGATCAACTATTCAAATTCATATTTCATGGTTGCCAAAATTTTAAATCAAAATTCAAATTACATCATCAGGGATGCCATAGAACATGAAACAAATCAATTGAGTTCATTGAAACAGATTGATGTGACGTCAGATGTCTGAAGTCGGAACTCTGAAGTCTATGGCACGACGCGTAGTTTTACATGTCAGTGGGTTGCATTGGCAACGATGTAAATAAAATAAATAAAGCAGAATCAAAGTTAACCTAATATTTTCGAGAATGTAACCTTGGCCAGATAGCCCAGGTAGCTAAGGCCATTCAAATCGAAAGGAAGAAGAAGAAGAAGAAGAGAATGTAACCTCTATTTATTTTGGCACTCTTTGAGCTCTTTGAACTGACCTCTTTAGACCAGCCTTCTGAAGTAAAAATGGATAACATTTCATCTCTATCTGGATCTCAAAAAGATGAATTAATGGATCAAGTTAAACAGCAAATAGCAGTAGCGAATGCACAGGAACTCCTCACAGTGAGTGAATTTTTCGAGGTGGTACAACTTTATATTATCAGTTTGCATTTTTAGAAAATGACAGAAAAATGTTTCAAAAAATGTATATCAAAACCTGGTACATCACTTGATAGTTCCGAACAGGTAAATTCCTACATATTATTAGAATAGGTGTTGCTTTTCTAACTAATACCATCCGGTGACTCTAGGTGTTGCAAGTTTCTAGGACTTCTGTTGAATACTGGTTTATTTTGTTCAAATGTTCCACAGACAACATATCTAGGTGCTGAGCTTCAAAACATTTTAGTATTTGAGGTATAACTGATTGATATGATGATATCACTTTCATACCTCAGATAATTCATTAGAGGAATATATGATCTAAGAATTCATTCCTTCTATCATGTTGAAGTGGTCTTGTGTACTTCTGGATATAAATTTCATAATTTGCATTTCCTGTCATTCAGGCAAGAGGAATATCAGATTATTTGGATTATAGCATTGTTCAACAACTGTAATCATTCTGTTTCTAGATATGAAATAGCCCTCCAAACAGCCACAGTAAATCGCTAAAAATAGCTAGGTGTAGAAACCTTGGGTATAGCCAAATGTTTTCACACCAATACAGGGTGGCCCTGAAAGGCCTGTACAAAATCTTAGCACAAGCAACTTACCTCTGAAATTGCCCAGTTTCCAAGAAACCTGCTGGTAAATTTAAAAATTGAAAATCGGCAAGCACACTTCAAAAAAGTATTTTGAACAAATAATTTTCGCACTGCTCATTCACTGACCAAATTACATCCACAAAGATAACAGCAAACATTTATTATTCAAAATTATTTGAATATTCCATAGCCTCATCAAACACTAAAACTTGAAAAGAGTGGAAAACGGCACAATTTAGTGACTTTTCTCAAGGGCACATTGTTGCTAGACAATATTCAGAAAATCGTTTCCTCAACAAAAAAAGTAAAAAACCTCACTGAGTAAAAAGTTATTGCCAATCCAAACCATAAGAAATGCATTTGTAAACACCCTCTAATGGCCACAGTGAAAGGGTGTCCACATTCTGGTTACACTTGGCTAACAATTTTTGAATAGCTACTTTCGAAAATGTTGATACACTTTGGAAAATTCTATTTTAATTTTTCAAATTTACCACCCTGTATCTCGGATATGGTGCAATTTCAGACTGAGGTAAGTTACTTTAAATCAGCTTATTTTGACCTCAGGCATATGTGGGGAGATTTTATACATACCTTTCAGATACACCCTGTATATCCTAATTGCTATAGCAATGTACTAACAGGCTATGTCCAGAGGTGTGATCAAAGCACAATATCCAAATGAGTACCTAACATTCTTAGTCAATCTTGATTGGGGGTAAATTGGCATAACTTAATGACTATCCACATGAAATTTCAAATTGTAAAATTGGATGTTATTCATTTTCACAAAACAATGTTTCTTTATCTCTTGGAGCGCACAAAAAGAATTCCTATAATTTTACTAGAACATTGCACGTACCTAGGGAAGGCAGGGGTGTTAGAATTTTTTTGAACTTTTGGAAGTTATACGTTCTTGGGAATACTTCCATTGGCAAAGAATTCCGCAGCTTCGCCGTTCTAGACGAACCAATTTTTTGTGAAGTGTTGTTTGACATTTTTCAAGGATAATGATGAAGGGATGTGCTGATTGAACCTGTCGATTTTGTTGGTATTGAGAAAAATTCTTCACATTTCGTTGAAATTAGAATTTCAGTACAAGTAATCTCTCTGTAAGTACTTTGGAACAGCAGAATTTCAGCAAAATAGGTGGTTCCAGAGGTAATTACTGACACTGCTGGCAGTCAATTTTGGAATGAATATTCAATATATAATTATTTGATTGCTAATGATGGTTTCAAACATTCTAGATCTGTGACTGGATTGAGTGATTCAAAATTAAGTTTTTCTGGTGACTGGGGATAATCCTGCATGATTCACTGTTGTGTTCCAATGTTGTTCGATATACCAATATATCAACTTCATTATTTTATTCTAGAGAAATATTCGGAAAAATCCTTGGAAAAATCAAATAATTCAGTCACTTTCCGGATTATTGAAAAAAAATATTATCAGATATATTATGGATATGAAAAAAAGGAATACATATAAAGAAATACATTGAGAATTCGCATTGTCAATCTGATCAAAATATTAATTCTTTCCAGAATTTCAATAAACTGTTTTTTTGTCTACCTCTGCAAGTATCGACATGTAGGTACTGAAAAATGTTGCTAATCATTATATTTTTTATGCACGACCGGTCGCAAAGTGGCACTTTATCGGAGTAAAGTAGCATTTTAGCGCCCTAGGGCGATAAAAGTGTATAGCGGGTGGTAAAGTAATTTCACTGTTTTTTTCATTAATTTCTAGTAGATTACCAATCGATCTTTCTTCGCCAATGGCATACATAATTTGATCAAATTGATTCAAAATCATTAATAAATTCCATATTGACCTCGATATTGACAGTGAATAAATATCTGAAACGGTCGTGCATAAAATGCTGTATTTCGGGCACAACTTGCTTGTATGGCTCAGGCGTGTTAATTGCCCTCGCTATCGCATGGGCTCTCACTTACGCGCTGCGGTCCATAAAATCATACTTCACGCACTTGATACATAATTAACAATTTTTGAAAATAATATCTGGAAGTATAACATTGTTTTTGGGATTGGGTCACAAAAAAGGATGTTTGCACAAAGCTCCATATTGACTTAACGAAGACTCAACCAGCCTGAGGAATGACGTTTTTTACATGAAATGAGATCATTTTATCATATTCCTCAAATTGAGTTACCAAAGCATTCATTCAGGCATTTTTGATTTATTTTGCGTTCAAGGCCGTGCCCAAGGGGACCACCCTCGAAATGACGGCCTGAATCAGAGTAAGATCTATTTTGCCAAATTCACATTTTTTCATATATGAAAAATAACATCATCCAATACCATCAAGTGGGACTCATGTGAAGTTGGCGCCGTTTTTTAGAGAAACAATTTTTTTTAGAGTTCTGAGTAGATTCGATAAGGTTCTATAGTCCCTGACTGAAATTTTGAATAGTTCCAGCAAATCGTAGATGTATATGGAAAACATTACTTTTGAGCGCTCACTTCACGCAGCGCCGTTTTTCGAGGAAATTAGCTCTGATATATTTTTATGTTGTATTATAAAGAGTTCTGGAGTTCTAATAAACCTACTTCATCAATAGTTCTGCTGAACTAACCAAATTATTGAATAATTTATAGAAATAAAATACGATACCTAATGTGTTTCCATTGGCGCCATTTCTTGGTGAACAGAACAATTCTGATGGGAGTTTTGAGTAGCGCTCGACGAGTTCTCCAAATTATTCTTATTGTGTTTTAGGGACAATTCGATACTTTTTCATTTATCAGCTGTCATAAGGTGCTGATTTCAAAAAACATTTATGATAAAAAATTAATTCCAAAGAACAGAACAGTTCTGATGGGAGTTCTGAGTAACCCTCGATGAGTTCTTCATAATATTCGTATTTTGTTTTATAAAGAAATCGATACTCTTTCATTTATCAGCTGTCATAATAAGGTGCCGATCTTAAAAAACTAACATTTTCGATGAAAAATTAATTTCAAAGAACAGAACAGTTCTAAGGACAGTTCTGAGTAGTGCTCGACGAGTTCCTCAAAGTATTCTTATCAATTTTGGAGACAAATCTATACTTTTTCATTTATCAGCTATCAGGTGCTAACCTAAAAAACTAACATTTTCTATAAAAAAATCCAGATAACAGCACAGTTTTTATATTAAGTTCCGAGTAGCGCTCGACGTTTTCTTCAAAATATTCTTATTGTGTTCCAACTTTTTCATTAATCAGCTGTCATAAGGTACTAACCTCAGAAACTATCATTTCATATAAAAAATTAATTACTTAGCACAGAACAATTCTGATGGGAGCTCTGAGTTGCGCTCGACGATCCATTATTGGTTAGGGATTATCATAACGAATTCAACAATACCAGGTTCGATAGGATTATTTCAAAGATTAGCAAGATATTTGCAATCTGAATTTCCATTTGACCCAATGGGTCTGACGGCGCGATATCGAAACTTCATTCTCTGTCACACTCATTGAGGTTACGGAATCTTTGAATGCAAATATGGGTGCCGCCCCGCTCTGCTGCGCTCGTGCTTAATATACTCGTTACCAAAAGGACGTTTATAACACTTGTTAGAGACAAGCAAAAATTAATATCATATTAGAACCGTTGATTGGATCAACCAGTTTTCAACTTCTTTCAAGATTCTGATAACTCATTTCATTGAGTACAACACCAGTACAGTCAGAATTCACAGCATTATCGGAACAGGTTCATCTCGTATAGACCATTTCGTGTATGTCCGGTAGTAACTAGAGAAAAAATAGACCTATGCAATAGTGACCATAGGTGTTTCGCGCTATTTATTAAGGAATGCTTATACCAATTCTGTAGTGACTTGTTATAGTATTGCTTCAAGCGAAAAGAGCTTCGTCATTGTCTCACAATAAGCCCTTCAATTGTTACTGTTGGCGATCTGGCCCTATTTTCATGGACGATGCTCTTCTGAAATATCAACAATTGTTCCTCCATTGGCAGTCCCCGCGAGATTAAAACCCGTAGAGTTGAGGCTTCGCACCCTTTTGTGGTCACTTTGGAGACCTGCAGAACATCTCTTTCCAAAGACTCGTTCATCCAACAGCGAGACTCTGGAACACATTGCCTAGGGAGGTGTTCCCCGAGGCATATAACCTCCAGAAATTCAAGAAGAACACCAATTCCTACCTTATTTCCCTTGGTTCTCACGATGTTCTCTGAACATTACAGGATATCCCTTTTCGTGGAAACCAGAACATAAAAAAAAATTATTGTCAATATGTTGTTGCACCTCCCCTAGCAGCAACGGAAGTCCTCATTCTTCTCGGCATACCGGTTATCAAACCATGATGAAGTCTTGGGGAATAGCTATCCTCTCTTCCAGTAGCGCGTCCTCTGATTGGTCAATATTTATCATTTCACCTTCCCTTCTCTATACGCGTCTTGTCGGATTTATGTCGGGAGTTTTTTTTCATTTATTAGAGCGCACGAAAGGGAAGCCCTATTTTATGTTGGAGGAACATCGTGCGTACCTAAGAAGGATAGGGAGAGAAGGTACGCAATATTATTATGTCTTAAAACTCCAGTGACCATTCTCGCACGATGTGGTAGTTCATTACCATCAACCAGTATGAAACTGTCACCAAAAGTTTTGGGCAACTGGAACGACAACTTCCCTAACACAAAACCTACATGTCTTGAAACCGAAGAGCATTCATATATTACCTACTCTCTCTCAAAATAACCAACGTGGATCGATATGATTCATCATGATACCGTTCATTTTGATTTTACGTATCATTATTTCATTAAAAATATTATATGTTGATAATTATTATCTGCATTTTGTTCGTAGTATTTGAAAATGTACAACATATTGTACAGTAATGGAGTTGCAGATATGCCAATCTACAATTCTGTTGGAGTTGAGTTTATGGTGGTTGAACGGTTGAACATATCGGAATGCAATATTTTGTGAAAAATTCCATATATCAAAACATCCTGTATGAATCCTCTTGAATCCAAAACCATTTCGAAGAAACTCATTATCCTTCATTTTATCTCCCTCAATGAAACATTTGAAAATATCCCAGTGAAACGGGGCGATCCCAAACTTTTCGAAAATTATCACTTATTCAGATATCATCCTCTGTGGCCTGTAGGTCATCATATCGGGAAGGTGGAATAACGAAAAAGTACTGAAGGTGTACTCAAATGAGTTATCACAATCTTGAAAGAAATTTAAAATTGGTTGATCCAATCCAAAGTTATGACGGTTCGGAAATGATGAGACATTTTTGCTCACCTCACTTCAAATGTGGGGCAGTTTAGTTGGTAATGCCACACTTGACATCTTTCCAACATCGCAGGAGAGATAATTGACGACTTTTCACTTTTCTATAGATTTTCCCTCACCAGCAATACCTGCCAGTTGAACTTGACTAGTCAACGCCCTTTTTCGTTAGTTTTGAAATATGTCGAACACCTCTCTACTAAAACTTGTTTAGTCAGAACGGTAAATCTTTAAAAAATGTTTCCCAATGATGAAGTATTCTCTAGAACGAAAAACCCGCACGGAGTTCCAGGAATATAATAAGAATCTCATTTGTGCGGCGTAAAAGATTAAAAAAAAAGCACATGCACCAGAATTTTTAATGATCTGAGTGTTCTTGATTCACATGACATCAAGACACTGCACTGGGTATTGGGTAACCATATTTCATAATCCGACTTCTGAAAGAAGGTCCGCGATGTCTATCCAAAATATTTAGAAAATTTTAAATCTCATGCGCTAACCAGAACTTATATAGTAAAACCATTGAATATAGTCAGTCCATTCATTAGTTTTCGGGATGAAATTTTCTCTAATTTTGATATGTTGACACTTTCAAAAACTACCGAAAGATTTAAAAACGCGTTTCCTGAATAATGAATTTGAATACTGTTCCAACATATGGGGTTCAGCACCCAAACGTACGCTGAAGCTCTAAGCTTCAATCCTGAAAGGATCCCATCGCTTGGTGGGTTGATGCCAAACTCACTAATTCTTTGACACCATCGGAACCATGAGAAATGTTCTTCAGCAATCACTGCTATCATTCCATCACTAGTTATACTAGTCAGACGTACTCGACAAGCCCAGTCAGCACATCCGTTCGTCGTCAACCTTGAAATATCTCGAACATTCCTTTACCAAAACTTGTTTGTCTATAAAACGGCAAAGCATTGAAATTCTTTGTCAAAGGAAGTATTCCCAAGGACTTGTAATCTATATCAGTTACAAAAAGAATTCGCACGATCTTCAAGAGATAAAAAAACGTTAGCGATTCTTTTCGATGGACGTGACCAATAAGCTTAACCACAAACGAAAGGTGAACAGAGTGAATTTATTGCTTTTACAACTTTAAAAAACCCCGCCAGGTGGCGTATGCTAATTTTCCATCGCAAGTACTCTTATCCCTTTAGATAGGCAGAAGGGTGTGCCAAAATATACCTTATGTTGATAATGATGATCGAAAATGGTATTGAAAATAGTCAATATTTATCAAAAGTTTGGCTTCAATAAGTTGGATTTGTTCCATTTTTTTTTCGCCTACATTTTCAATCTACATGATTTTTGAGTAATTGTCGATTTGGATATACAGGGTGTTTCTTAAGTACGTGTAGAAAATTCAGGAGCACGTTGCTGACGTCAAAATGAGAAAAAAGTTCGTATACATACAGAGTGGGCCTTTGAAAAAAACTGGAACACGTCAACTACATTTTCGAGGAGGGCATCGTCCTACAATATTTTCAGCCCTGCAGCGTTGCCGCTGCTAACGAAAAGAAGCAAAAACTTTGTTATTTCAAATGGAACACCTTGTATTTTATTGCATTTTTAGATTCTCCCCGAAGAGCTGATTTCATCAATGCATCACACTTGGGGTCTAGCTGTAATGGTTTCGGGGATATAAGGTGTTCAAAATCGAGATTTTTCATCTTTAACATTTTTTTGTATCGAAACTATTCATTATTGGTCAAAACGACTCCCATGTCTCTATCTCAACTTGTGATTCACTATCTACTAACATTTAATTGGAACAGATACAGGGTGATCAGAATTCTGAATCTTGAACCACCCTGTATTTGTTTCAAATAAATGTCAGTAGATAGTAAATCACAAGTTGAGATAGGGACATGAGAGCCGTTTTGACCAATAATGAATAGTTTCGACACAAAAAAATGTTAAAGTTGAAAAATCTCGATTTTGAACACTTTATATCCCTGAAACCATTACAGCTAGACCCCAAGTGTGATGCATTGATGAAATCAGCTCTTCGGGGAGAATCTAAAAATGCAATAAAATACAAGGTGTTCCATTTGAAATAACAAAGTTGTTGCTTCTTTTCGTTAGAAGCGGCAACGCCGCAGGGCTGAAAATATTTTAGAAAGATGTCCCCCTCGAAAATGTAGTTGACGTGTTCCAGTTTTTTTTGATAATCCGGTTTTGGCGACCTACAAAGCCTCTGTTTCGTTTTCAAAGGCCCACTCTGTATATGTCCGAAAGTTATTCGTTTCTGAGATACAGAGTGTCAAAGTTGAATTCTTATTTTTGTTTTTTGTTAATAAATTTCAAAATAATCATGATATTTGAATGAAGTTTGATATCTAGGGGTATTTTTCTAAGACAATATCAAACTTTATGTTAGTTTGTCTCTTTCGTGAGGGTGGCGCCACCTACATGTCTTTTGAGTCTTTTAAGAAGCCATAACTCTTTTGTGCGTACCTGCATCACGTTTCGTATTAGGAAAAGATGATTCTTACTTCTTCGTACCTACTCTTTTGGACTTCCAATTCAAAAAAATAACAATCAAGTGAGTACTTGTCATGTTATTTCAATCCTTTCTTGTGACAGTAAGTTTGTTATTATTATTAGTATCAAATTGTAATAACACCCGATTCCTATTTTGAAATGAAATAGAGAGAAATAATTTTCCTTACTTAATAAATCAATTTTGAATTCCAACTTCTTGTCATTCCAAATTACTTGCATTGATTATTTCAAATCCCAATAACTCGAAAACAGTTGCTCGCAACGACCTCTAGCAGGAATATATTTTTTATAAGAAAGTGTTCTAGAAATCTATTTTCCTACTATAAAACGTGATACAGGTACGCACAAAAAAGTTATGACTTTTTGAAAGACTCAAAGGACATGTAGGTGGCACCACCTCCTTGGAAGAGACAAACTAACATAAAATTTGATATTATCATTGAAAAATACCCCTTGATACCAAACTTCATTCGAATATTTGAATTAGTTTGAAATTTATTAACAAAAAACAAAAATGATAATTCAACTTTCACACTCTTTATCTTAGAAACGAATAACTTTCGGACATATATTTATACGAACTTTTCTTCTTATTTTGACGTCAGCAACATGCTCCTGAATTTTCTACACGTTCTTAAGAAACACCCTGTATATAAAATTCACTGAAGGCAAAGAAATACATTCATGCCAAAATCACCTTTGCGAAATGTTGCAAGTCGAGTTGAAATTCGAATAGAGATTACTGATAATAACTCCAGTAAAGTTCGGAGATGATCGTGAACCATCATGAAAAATCAGGATATGATTTTTTTAGAAATGCGTAGCCATGTGCATGGACAGGTATATGGACTCATGGAACTTAGTATCAAGAGCTTATAGCATCCGAATCCAAAAAGAGAGAAGTCACATGTAAATCTTCCGGAGCATCAAAATAGTCATTTTTTCTTTATAACCTATCTCTTCTCAGGAACTGATACTGGCCCTTTTATTTTATATGGCCACTATACTAGTTGTAAGAAGTTAAATCCCTTTGTTAATAAAAAAATATATTTTATTCCTGTTTTCTTTTCAATTCTCCACAAAACAATATTTTGAGCAATTCGTAATTGAACGTCAAAAGTATTCATAAGGCACAATATTGAGATAAATTAAAATATTAAGTACACAATAATAACTTATCAACTACCTAACGCAAAAGTCCCAATGGAATGTGAGACAGAATACAATTATTAATTCCTATCTAATTCGTGACATTTTTTGAGTTTCTCAATGGTTTTAGTGCTGGTTCTGTTAAAAACTGTTTCACTTGGTAAGTAGGCGCCTACTACATGTATTTGAACAGTGATTTGCATAAAAACATGTAACTATATTATGATTTTGAATGAGATTCGCTCTACCATATCATATTTTTTATACATCTATCTTTGAATGTCTTTTATACCCATAATAAACTGCCCAACACAACAAATTTGAATTATCATAGCTTGTGATTGCCTCAACCGATTTTAATGATGCATTATCAACATATTCGTATATACAGGGTGGTCCTTGAACAACAATTATGTCATCATGCAAGTAATGAAAAAAATCAAATCCTTGTTTTGGCGAGCAAGAAAACTTCGAAGAATTCTTATGTGATTGAAAAGTTTTCTGGCGATCAACGATCGAAGCGTGTAGGAGGAAATTGCCGTCACCATGTCAAGTTGCTACAGAATCTATTGTCAGATCGAGCCACTAGCACTTAGAACAGGGATTTTGAAAGCATCGTTCTCACTTTGAGTTACATGTTTGAAAGAAAGTTTCAAGGCAAATGAGATAGCATGATGATATATACAGGATGATGCCTAAATGAAAAAGTTGCTTGCGATACATGACATACAACTGATAGATTTCATCAAAATTGCAATAGGTTGACGAGAATCGGAAATTGATTTCATTGAGCGAGCTTTATCTCTTCTATACGACCGAGAGAGGCCGAACTGACTATCAAGAATTCATGTGTTTTGATTTTTAATACTTATCATGTTCACTTCATTGTTGAATTTTATAAAACGTAATATTGATTGATGCCATTTGAACTGGTGTTATTGATGAAGTCATGGAACTGGAACACTGTGATGGAATTCAATATGAAATTATCATGTTTTTTTTGTGCCTGGATACTCTTCTTTCCATAACTATGTGACTTCTCAGCCAATACATCTGTGATATGACATTTCTTAGATGACCCGTTTAGGTAGCAATGCGACATCGCAAACGTTACATCGCTGCGATGTCCATAAGCAAACACATCTGCGACATGACATCTCCGAGATGTCGCGATGAGGCAACACTGCAATATTACGAATGTCCCATCGCTGCGATGTACAAAAGCAAACACTTCTGTGAAATGACATCTATGAGATGCAAATACATTGCAAAAAATATATCGCTGTTATATCGCAGAGAACTTGTCGCAGCGACGACGCTTGGATGAAACTTGAGTGGGACAAAATAACATCCCTCTGACATCGCAGCGAAGTATATGCGACATGGAATATGATATCACAGATCACAATTGTCACATCGTGCGATATCTCTCTAATGTAACTGTGTTTAGTGGGTCACGTCTTCTATTTTTTTTTTAATTTCGACATACATTTAATTCAAGTCCTTCGTGAAAACGTTCACCGCGAACAGAATCAATAATCGACTGCAATTGAGATAAATTCTGTCAGTTGCATGTCATGTCATTTGCCTTGAAACTATCTTTTGAACATGTATCACAAAGTGAAAACGACGCTTTGAGAATCCGGTTCTTCTGAAAAATCCAGTAGTTCGATCATACAACAGATTCTGTAGCCACTTAACATGATGAAGACAATTTCTCCTACACGCTTTGATCGCCAGAAAACTTCTTAATCGTTTTCCTCACATAAGAATGCCTCGAAATTATCCTGCTCGTCAAATCGAGAATTTGATTTTTTTTTAACTTGATGACATCCACAATTGTTGTTTGAATACCACCCTGTATATGAGAATATGTTGATAATGCATCATTTCAAGATATTCGACCACCGTTCGAACCAGGATGACAGGTACAAAAAGACAATAGAAATTAGAGCTTCAAACTATGCATTATCTTATAAAAATACCCCGTTTGCCAATGAAACGAGCATTCAGAAACTGAAAAATAATTCAAAATCTGATGAGACAATCGAAAGTTGTGACGAATTTGATAGAAAAAATGCGAAATTACGTTGCATGTGTTGAGCAGTTTATATAAAATTATCTAGATCAAGTTGGTAATAGAATTTAATTCAAATGTCAGCTCGCCTCTTGACCATGACCTCATAAATTCGTTGCAAATGTGAAATAATTTTGTTTGGAATCTTTTCAAGGAAATCAAAGTATCTGTGAATGGAGCGAAATACAATATACGTTCACTTGTAAGTATTAATAAATTATTCTGAATTTGTTTCTGAATGGCCTTTATCTGTTTTCTTGAGACTTCCTTCAAAATGTTTGAACACGGTGTTAGAATCAGAAATCTGTCTATTGGGTGATTTCTGTTTGTCATTCTTGATAGATTCATCGGTTGATCTATTCTTAGCAGCATTTTGTAATTCATCTAATAAGTTGACCTTTGACCTCTCTGATTTCAGTGACAAGTCGTCCCCATCACAAATAAAGTCTTCTTCATATTCTGCTTCCATCTCAAAGAGTTTATCAAGTTCGCGTAGGTTGGACTTCTCCTTGAATTCTTTACTATACAATGATGGTAGGATATCATTGACACGAGACTTATTGAGTTGCAGAGGTGGAAGATCAGTCAGCGAACTCAAACTACTCTTTGCTTTCAGTTTATCAGCCTTTGGGGGAGATATTTTGGATCTTTCAGAAACTTTTTCCTTTGAGTTAATTTCGTCTGAGCCACTGACGGTTATTTCAGGTACTTTATCTGCATTGTTTGTGTCGTTGAATTGAGAATCAGTGTCATCCACTAGAGAACTTGAATCTCCATTAGTATCATCTTCGTTTCCAGTTTTTATGTCTGAAGATTTGTTAATGTTATTTTGATATCCATTGGTTTCATCGAACCTATTCACCTTTTCATGATTTTCAGTATGCTTTGTTTTCAGAACATCAACAGTTGGACTAGATAGGTCGAATGTAGCATTAAACTTTTGTTCATCACGAAGAGTCTTAACTTCTAACGATTTATTGTTCTCAATAATATCTGAACAATCACTAACTGGTATAGTTTTAACAAGGCTATCAGATTTATCCTCACTTTCAGATTTATCTTGATCAAATTTAGCACCAATGTTCAAATTTATTTCTATACTTCTTGACTTTGCTTTCGTACTTTGTAAGAGATGCAATAAAAGAGGTCCAGTTCCATCACTTTGCAAACCTAGTTTATCGACTATCTGTTGCCTTTCTTCATAATCAATCTTAGTTTCTAAGTAAGATTCAGGTTCGTAAACTGATAGAGTAAACTTCAAACCACAAAATTCAAGGAACTCGTGAACGATACAAAACATCGCTTTACCTTCTTCAGTATTCAAATAAGTGTTAATCTTATTGTTGAGCAGTGGTTTCTGCTTGCTAATCTGAAAAAAATGAATACAATCATTAATCTGAATATGCAGCATCTTACATGGAATACATGGACATGCCTGATACCTATTCCTAAATTTTATACAGGTTGATGTGGAACACACAGCATCGGTAATGAATACCACTTACTAAACAACAAAATATATGGGGAAGCCTATGACAAGGCGGAAGCACATGACAAGGCAGTATTCCTGTAAACATGTTGTATTCTTGATGATAAATTGAAGGCGCAGCTGGAATTCATCAGGTCCCGACTTGTATACAGTATAGGTGTAGTATCGAAAAAAAAAAAATCTTCGAGACAGTGGGAACCGAGGTGGGAACACTACACTACCATCTATTGAACGCTTAGATAATGTTTGTGACCTTTATTGCTACGTATATTCTCAAAGTCCAAATTGATCATAGCTAGAATACTTGCAAAATTACATGTCTTCCCTAAAAATGAAATTCGTGGTCGGAGTCCACGGACGTAACTACTATCTATACCGCTACATGTCATATCTCAGCTACCCGAACATTTCTGGTAAATAGCACAAGTCTTCGCGTAGTGAAATTTTCAGAAACGAAAATACCCGAAGCAGTGTTGACAGCAGCGACGCGACAACAGAATGAGTGCTAACATTTTCACTCTCACCAATTATCGCTGCTAAAACGTGAGATCAGTGTCAAAGATCCCAAAATTTTGCCGGACTGTGGCCTGTTTTATCGAAAATATATAAAAAAAGATGTAGAATATTTGAACGAATATAGATAGATAGATAGATAGTTTTATTGGCGATGTGACACATATAGAATATGGTTTATAGCAAGTCAGTGGAACATTACAAATGTACAAATATATAAATATACAGTATGATGCAAATGTATGGAATAAATTCATTTCAAAACAGACGACTTCAGAACTTTTTTATCGATGTATTTTTTCAACTAGACGACCCTTCGATGTTCAATTCTCAGTAGAAGATCTCTGCAAGATTCAGTTAACCAAATGATAATCCATTTTAATTTCAATCTTCTTTTGCAAAATTTTGACTATTAGATAGACGATCAGTAGACCTTTCAAACGAAGTGTCACATGACCCCTGTTTGTATTTAAAAAAACCGTCCATTACGTCATTACTCCAACACCGGTGACGTAACATCTCTCATATGAATGTCATGAGATGAGGTTTCAAAAATTAAAACTCACGTGTTTTTGGAATTTCTTCAAATGTCGCCCATTTCTGAAATTATTAATTTATTCCATACATTTGCATCATACTGTACTATATAAATGTTTAAAACATACAGATCGGGCATGCTTATAGACATGTAGTACAAACACAATATGTACAGTAACTAAAATCAAAGCAAGATTAAATCGAAGAAAGTGAATGACAAGACGGGGTAAAAAAAGAGATTGTTTTAGATGTATGACAAACTGACATTTATCATACAGGGCGTGGAAAGAAATTCTGAATTGAGAAAAACCCAATCACGAATCTGCGATTGAAGGTCTATAAAAATAACAAGTTTCCATCGTTCAAGTTTGAACCCCTTGATTGGGTATGAAAGTATTGAAAAGGAATATTCTCAGATATATTATAAACATGAAAAAATGGATACATTTGAATAAATACATTGAGAATTCGCATTCTCTATGTGATGAAATTATTAATTCTTTCTCGGCATATTCAACAGAAAACAACTACTTTCCTGGCTATATGCCACGACGAACATTGAATTATATCAATTGAACATACACGATAGGAATTTGAGCATAAAATGAATATCGTCTGAAATTGAGAATTGACATTCTCTTCCAGAATCGGATGAATACTATGATAAATATAACGATATAAAAAATATATTACTTACCAAATTGGTATGAAAATTGGAATGTATGGGAGAAATATACTAGTATACATACATACTCAATTCAGAATTTCTTTCCACGCCCTGTATGATAAATGTCAGTTTGTCATACATCTAAAACAATTGCCACCCACATGACTGGAGATAAGTCAACAAATTTTCATTCTCAGATAGATGTCAGTTCCACTATAGTTTTAGTTATATTATTATAGAAATGTGAAAATTGTGTATTAAATGAAGAATGGCTGAAGGAATGACTGGACTTCAGGTTACTGAGGAGAGTTTGAAACTCGAAATGAATTTTATTCGAATCAAAATCATCTAACCTATGTGAAAGAGATGTGCATATATCCCAAACATCATGGATACGGATGATTTTTTGATAAATTCACGACTCAACAAGAACAGAGTATGTATACTAGTATATTTCTCCCATACATTCCAATTTTCATACCAATTTGGTAAGTAATATATTTTTTATATCGTTATATTTATCATAGTATTCATCCGATTCTGGAAGAGAATGTCAATTCTCAATTTCAGACGATATTCATTTTATGCTCAAATTCCTATCGTGTATGTTCAATTGATATAATTCAATGTTCGTCGTGGCATATAGCCAGGAAAGTAGTTGTTTTCTGTTGAATATGCCGAGAAAGAATTAATAATTTCATCACATAGAGAATGCGAATTCTCAATGTATTTATTCAAATGTATCCATTTTTTCATGTTTATAATATATCTGAGAATATTCCTTTTCAATACTTTCATACCCAATCAAGGGGTTCAAACTTGAACGATGGAAACTTGTTATTTTTATAGACCTTCAATCGCAGATTCGTGATTGGGTTTTTCTCAATTCAGAATTTCTTTCCACGCCCTGTATGATAAATGTCAGTTTGTCATACATCTAAAACAATTGCCACCCACATGACTGGAGATAAGTCAACAAATTTTCATTATCAGATAGATGTCAGTTCCACTATAGTTTTAGTTATATTATTATAGAAATGTGAAAATTGTGTATTAAATGAAGAATGGCTGAAGGAATGACTGGACTTCAGGTTACTGAGGAGAGTTTGAAACTCGAAATGAATTTTATTCGAATCAAAATCATCTAACCTATGTGAAAGAGATGTGCATATATCCCAAACATCATGGATACGGATGATTTTTTGATAAATTCACGACTCAACAAGAACAGAGTATGTATACTAGTATATTTCTCCCATACATTCCAATTTTCATACCAATTTGGTAAGTAATATATTTTTTATATCGTTATATTTATCATAGTATTCATCCGATTCTGGAAGAGAATGTCAATTCTCAATTTCAGACGATATTCATTTTATGCTCAAATTCCTATCGTGTATGTTCAATTGATATAATTCAATGTTCGTCGTGGCATATAGCCAGGAAAGTAGTTGTTTTCTGTTGAATATGCCGAGAAAGAATTAATAATTTCATCACATAGAGAATGCGAATTCTCAATGTATTTATTCAAATGTATCCATTTTTTCATGTTTATAATATATCTGAGAATATTCCTTTTCAAAAAAAGAGATGTTTGAATATAGGTATTCATCAACAGAATAAAAACAATGATTGAGAAGTATTTTTTTCACATTCATTTTGGAACATTTCTCATTCATAGATTCAATTTGGCTAGGTAATTTATTATAAATTCTGAAGTTCAAAGAGTTTTTTCAGATTTTACCAATCTGTAACGTGGCACAAGTAAATCGTCAGCAGTAGCGGAACGTGTGTTGTAATGATGTTGGCTAGATATTTTTGGGATGCTCATTATTGTCTTGAAATGAATTTCTGTTGTATTATGTAGGATTTAGATACAAGGAAGGAGTAGAATCCCTAACTTTCTGAAGAGTGGTTGACAATGTTCCTTATATCCAGCTCCAGTCAATATTCTTATTGCTAGTTTCTGTTGTTACTTGTTATTTTTACAGAGTTAACTGAGTTACCTCATAAAATCGTACCATAGCTTATCGAAGAATGGAAAAGACCGTATTATCCGCGAAGAGGACAATCTCACACTTTGTCGTCATATGGAAGCATAGGTCATTTATGTATATTACGAAAAGCAGTGGCCCCAAAACAAATCCTTGGGGAATACCGTGTATAATACTTTTCATCTCAGATTCAGAATTATTCGATGAGTAGACATATTGTTTTCTACCGTCCAAATAAGACTTGAATAATTTCAATGGCGTGCCTCTTATGCCATGAAAAGCAAGTTTTTCTAACAAGTGCTCATGGGAAACACATTCAAATGCTTTCGAGAGGTCACACATGGTCAATAATGAATGTTCGTGGCATTCCAAATCCTCGACTATGCTTTCCATGATCTGAAGAAGTGTTTTTGTTGTAGATTTATTACTTCGAAAGCCAAATTGGGCTGGGTGGAAAAGTTTAAACCTTTCGAAATGATCCAATAATCTGACTTTCAACCAATGTCCAGTCCTACTGCGGCAAGGTAAAACCTGAAGTTATCGAAGGACTTGCGCCGACTTACGTTATGTTACTCTCAATGCCAAATGACACGAGAATAAGAATATTATGAAGTATATTCATCAGTTCTACCAACTCTGACCTTACGTTTGAGTGGCGCGTTTTGGTGAACAATAAATAATGTTAGCCCTCATTGCACAGCAGCGTAATGTGGCAGAATATCGCTTTGTCGGTGATTCTTGAGATATACTAAATGTGCCGTGAAAGTGTAACAGCCCAAACAATCATTATTTTCAATGGAATAGCCGGAAAGTGATAATTAATTTATTCAATGATATACGCTTTCATGGAACTGAAGGGTTTTCAGAAATACTAATGCCTGATAATAACATATTATTTCGTCTAGCGTCTAAACATAACACCTCATCGTGCTGATGATCCCGCCGAGATCGCTGGGCAGATTGCACCGCAGTCGGCAGAAAATTTCCAAAAAAAACATTGAAATAGCGAATCATTATCGGCCTCAATAGTAAATGCCTCCACATCATTTCTTACAATTGATAACTTTGAAAAAAAAAACAAAAAGTAAATGGAGTAGGGTTCGAACCCAGGATCTCAACTCCACCAAACTATTCTTTATTTGACATTGGAATTGGGACATGTTTCG